CTGAATTGAATTCTGCTTTTCCACGAATGCTAGCGGAAATAATTTGTCGAGACTGTTGTCCACCAAAATTGGGGATCCGATTATGTTCTCCGCGTTTCGTGCATGCATTCACCTGAGGATCAATGGATAGAGATCGTCTAGTCACATTCTATTTTCCCACCAACCGAAACAGGAAATGATCAATAGCTGTTTCAGTCGAAGCTGCCGTTATGAAACGAGAAATAGGCAAATGTAAACCATTCTCTCAAGTCAATGATGACTGACATGGGCTCAGGTTATGTTATCTCAGATCGTAAAATATATATATATAGGCAGAATAACATTAACGACAAAGACAAGGGAGACTGAAATGTCCATTTCTGGCTTATTAGCCGTCGTCAGCCAGCCATACCCCAGCCCGAAGTGTGGAACACCCGAGCCTCGTACTCGCGACCTGTTGGTTTAGAAGTCAACGCCTCTACTCACCGGGCCACGAGCCCGTTGCCTTGTCGGTTTTCGATCGGGAATATACAGTGGTAGGGGGCGCTCACCGATCGTTCATACGGAACTCACTCGTTCCGTTGTGCCTTAAGGGCTCTCTCTCGAGCCCAACCAACGGTGAGCGTCCCCTACCGCTGAATATTCCCGATCGAAAACCGACAAGGCAACGGGCTCGTGGCCCGGTGAGTAGAGGCGTTGACTTCTAAACCAACAGGTCGCGAGTTCGAGGCTCGGGTGTTCCACACTTCGGGCTTGGGTATGGCTGGCTGACGACGGCTAATAAGCCAGAAATGGCCATTCCAGTCTCCCTTGTCTTTCTCGGTAATGTTATTCTGCCTATGTATCATGCGCCGCTGTGCGGCTGCTGGTTGGGCTCGAGAGGGAGCCCTTAAGGCACAACGGAACGAGTGAGTTCCGTATGAACGATCGGTGAGCGCCCCCTACCACTATATATATATATATATCAGCGAGGAGGGACGACAGAGGATGCGGGTAGATTGATACAGCACTGTTTCGGGCCTATTCTGCCTTCAATCAGCCAATCATAACCCTGACCACCAGCGGCTGGGAGCAGAAACACAAACATGCGCACAGACGCACCTGGCGCAGTCGGTCCACCACTGAGGCCTCCCATATATACCATATACGAGCTTATACGCTGACAAATATAGAACGAACATAGGACCGTATTTCTGAATTATATCCTTCATTAGACTATGAAATTTGAAGAAGACAAGAAAGCAGGACTAGTCAATGTTTGCATGCTTGTCACTGTTTAATTACCGCCAAAAACCCGCCGGCCGACTATTTTTCGTATAGTGTATACCTCACTACAGTCTTTGGTCACTTAGTAAGTGTAAACATATTCAATCAGAAAGGATCGCTAGGCCAGTTCTTAGACAAAGTGGGCACCACTGAATGGACCGTTGCTGCTATATTGGCAATTACTATCATATTGTGACAAGACGCCATCTCAAATCAACAGTTTCTTTCGTTTTCTTACGAAAAGGATAATGTTTGCAAGCACTACAAACCATTTCATTGAGTTAAAATCTTTTGAGCTAAATACTGGTGGTACAGGTCCGCTGTCGTTTGAAAACATTTGTCAATACTGACCACACATGTTAGATTTTAATTGAATTAGCCAGTGGATCATACGGCCGGCCCATAGAGCCAATGTTTAATCACCTTTGGGATTTCATTTCCCACATTCGACAAGGTACAGGAATGCCAGAGTTTGCCCTACAGTAATTGTTATTAAGGTGTACTTTGAATGTGAAGTTGCCATTGGACAACAATCTATGTTGACAGATAACGTAGCTATGGGCTCGATCTTTGGCCCGCTTTTGGCGAATACATTCATGAGCAGCCTAGAATCTTCCCCAGCTACGTCAGGAGACCAACGGTCTGAAATAATATGGGTGGTACGTGGATGATATATTCGCGATTGCACCAAAACGAAGTGACATCTCAAGTCTACCATATGGCATAAATCAGGCGCACCAATCAATCACCTTCACTCTGGCAGAAGAACAGTCCTTTTCACCTCCATTTCTGCATGTGCTTCTGAGTAAAAGGCCTGACGGGAGCATTCGATATAGCGTCTATCGTAATAAAACATGGTTCGGACAATACACCCCGTCTTGAGAGTTTCGTACCGGTGAACGTCCGCGGTTTGACAGACAGAGTGAGCAGAATCTGCTTAGCTGACAGGGTTGCTAAAGAGCTTAGGATCACCGAAAGCCTTTTTGCCAGAACAAGTATCTTGATCGATTCATTGCCAAGGACATGACCAAAGGACCACCAAAGCCCCCGACGATGACGAAAGGAATGAAAATTCTCTTCATCAGGGTATCATTTCAAGGGGATGCGCCAAGTGAACTTTAACGAAGACGCCTAACTCAAGCTGTATCACAGAATTCTCCAGCTGCTGACACTCGTGTACTGTTCTTCACTAGTTCCAATCTATGCGTAAAGAGCAAGGAAATACTACTAGCTTGGACCGCCTCTGTTTGTATTTACTCCTTCACGTGCTTCTGTGGGGCGGAATATATTGGTCGCACGAGCCGGCGTTTGCCCAAAAGAATAAAAGAACATATTCCAACGTAGTTAGGAAAAGGTCAAATAAGGACTATTAGCAGATCGATCCTAGCGCAAATGTTATAAAAGTTTCCAGACCCACGACATAAGCATTAAAAACGTTCGAATGTTTTTACTTTTTGGTTATTACTGAATTTGCAATATAGTGTGCATCCAATATATCTGTTTATAAACTATATATGGTGTCTTTTCATTGGCATACTATGGTACTTTATTTTCATAACATATAATGTTTCCGACTTTTACACTGCACGCGTAACTGAAAATGCATCACATAGCTACTAAAACTAAGACAATTATTTTAAACCCAACTGTCGGAAAGAAAGCGTAATTAGTTCCAGCGCGCACGAAAACCAGATGCTACATTTACTTGTCTGTCTGATTACAGACTGGCCTGAGCCATCGCACACACAGGTCAAAATCTGGCCTAACTTTAAGGAAAAACAGTTAGCATTTAAAGTGACAACGCACCGATAAAGTTGTATGTTAGATCTTTTGATCTTGGGGCCAAATTAGCGTCAGTCTGGCGTAAAGAATGCAGCTGTTTAAAATAAGGTGATAGCTCTAGATCGGATACTGATGTTTAAGATATTTCACATGCCCTATTCACCTTTCTGCAAAAATCTGCACGGTTATTTTTCTGAACATGAACGAGAACGATTATCTTAGTGGGACAGCATATATATCGGCTGGCCGCTAATAAATTGGACATGAACCCCTGCTATCCATCCAAAAATCCTGCCGTCCATGACACACATCAACTTTTGCACATAATTTTGAATGAATAAAGTCCCCAACACCAGGCAAAAAGATCGACTGTTGAAAAAGTGAGCGACTGCGTGGGTAGCGTCACCCGACTTTGATTTAACTCACGGCAGTCAGTGGGACCACTTTGCTCAGGTGCTTAGAGCGGTGGCTATACTTAAGTCTTGACGGTGTTGTCGTAGAGCAGTACCTTATCGTAGACTCAGGGTTTTTCATATAGGCAGATTATATCTTGCGTTCTGTAAAATATTTCTTTGCATGTTTGCACATCTCTCGCTGACTCACACAAATGTGATTACAGATTTAGAAGTAGAGATTGTGGTGCATACGATTTTGTAGTCGCGTGAATTTGTTAAATTTCTGTTTGTATAAATGTTTTGTCGGAGAATGTGTGACTAAAAATTAAGAACGTGGCAAAGTATTTGGTTTAATGAAATATCTACTTAAACTGCAATGGGCATGTATAATAAATAAAGGAACCTGAATTACTTATGTATTGTCCGATGTTTTCTGCATAAATAACTAACACATTGCATACATGCAGCGTGCGTAAAATGCAGACGGAATACCTTCCTATTTTTTTTACTAAAATACATCAGTTCTCACTCGTTCGGATGTACGCGACATGATAGGACGTTTTTAGAAAGCGGGTCGAACAAACTGATAACCATTTGGTCATGCAACGATACTCCAAGTTTGTCATGTCATGATCAGCGTGTGCATATATGTCACGTCCCACAATCCGCGAGAGATTGGGGAATGCAAGATTTATCAAAACGAAGGGTAGTTTCACGCGTATTCTCGTACGAATAATAGGCGGCTGACTGCGCTTTGCGCGCTTGAGCACCAAGTGTATGCTTGGTAGCGTTCTTTCGTTATCAATACTGGTTTCCGAAAATTGCCATCTGGCATCACCTAGTGGCTACTGCCGCCTGAGAGGTTAACCTCGGGTCCTGTGCACAATACGCCCCCTTAAAAAGGTGTCTTAACTCTCCTTGCATTACTAGGCTTTGCCCTTATTTTTGTGCTGCCCAGACTGCATACACTTACATCACCTGGTCACTACATTAGAATATCAAATATTTAACAAGTTTTACAAATATATCTTTCATCGTCAGGCGAAAAAATTACATGGTTATGAAGTTGCGAGTTATAGACAGGATTTGGATATGTTTCGGGGGTAGGGTTAGTCTAAGTACTTGTTCCCACGCCGCCTGCACGACGCAGTCAGCGTGTTGAGTACTCTGGAGCTTTGGGAAGGGGAGGGGCTCGACAATACCAAGAATGTACGGCCTTCCTAAAATTCACAAACAAGGGCTGCCTCTACGTCCAATCTTGGATATGAGGAATTCGCCCTATCATACCATTGCAAAATGGCTAGTGGAAAGACTGAAGTCATTGCAAAGTTACCTATACCCTCAAAGTTTAAAAGACTCCTTTGAGTTTGTCGAAACTATCAAAAATATGAACGTTGGCGGACGGAGGATGTTATCACTGGATGTATCATCGCTGTTTACCAACGCACCCGTAACAGAAACAGTAAACTATCTTTGTAATGTTATTCCTGATACAAACTACCCCATAGACATGTCTGTGAAAACGCTTCAAGGATTACTGACGCTTTGTACACAAAATGTCCAATTTATGTGCAATAGTCAACTACACGGGCAGGTAGATGGTGCGGCAATGGGATCACCGCTTGGACCGTTCCTTGCAAATGTTTTATGGGCACAGTCGAGAAAATAAGCCTGCAGGAGACCATTAATGACCTCGACTTCTACGGTGGGTACGTGGACGATATCTTCTGCCTGGCGGATGGTGCCACCGATAACGAGGAGCTTGTCTGAAAGTTCAAAAGTGCGCAACCCTCGCTAAAGTTCACTGCAGAGACCGAGGCAGATAACGAACTTGCCTTTCTAGATGTCCTTCTGCACAGGCAAGAGGACGGGTCTATCCAACGCAGGCTGTTCCGAAAGAAAACCCGGACGGGACAATACGTTAATTTCCCCAATCGTGTTCCCCTAAACATCAAACGGAATTTAGTCCAGGGATTGGCGGCTAGAGTGAGACGCATCTGCTCACCTGAAGCTATTGAAGAAGAACTTAAACAGCTGCGGAACAACCCAGATTGATTTATCCTCCGAAATATTGAGGAACATGTCGAAAAGCCCACTGTTGGGACTGCGGAAAAGAAAGATGTATTCATAAGATTGCCTTTTGCAGTAGACGCAGAGAGCGAACTAGTCCGACGGCGCTTAACGACAGCTATCACGAGGGCATTCCCTGCGGCGAATTTACGCGTATGTTTCACAAACTCTCCCCTCCTACGTTTGGGAGATAAAGACAGACTACCGTGGGAGGCCACATCAATGTGCATCTATTCATTCACTTGCTGCTGTGGGGCAGGATACATCGGCCGCACAACGAGAGGACTGGTAAAGAGGGTGCGTGAGAATTTTTCCGCCTGGCTAGACAGAGGTGAGATCCGGTCGATTTCGAGTTCTTCTATCGCACATTTAATCGATACGAATCACCGAGTCGATGCCAAGAAAGTTTTTCAGCTTGACTACCGGACAACAACATTCTTCTCTAAAGGCCGACGCCAACAGGTGCTAGCTACAGCTGAGGCAGTAGCTATACGTTTAGGGAATCCGTTGTTATGCTGTCAGAAAACTCTGACACAAGCGCTTTCTCTGCCGTGGCCAACGCCAACCCCAAGTGATGAATCCATGCCGCCTCAAATCCCTAATTACGATGATTGTTACTCCGAGTACTCAATCCAAGAACATCAGTCAAAGACTCGCTTACCGCCCTCCTCTAGCTCTGATGATTAACACCCGCCGACCTAGCGCTTGAGACATCTATAAACACTGTTAACATTGTACATATTCATTCCTTCATGTAATTGTATTGGCCTGACGAAAAATTACCGAAAACACGTGTTCGCCAACTTGATTTTTTAAGTGTAACATGGGCATATTTGCGGAATTGTGGATTCGTCTGTTTTTCAAGATTTTGCCAGGACTCCTGTGGTTAGTTTCTTTCCTCTAAGGCGCTCTCATGTTTTTTAATGTATAAATTATGAGGTTTTGTGGAGTCAGCACTCAGGGGTTCGTTGGCGGATGCGTCCATTGCCTCCGGCCGTTGTGGCAGTGCAAAACAGCATGTGCAGTTGATCAGCAACAGTGCAGGTAGTCGAGCACTTGTACAAACTAATCACACATCATCTGCATTCAGACGTCTGTGCGGCTGCTGGTTGGGCTCGAGAGAGAGAGCCCGTAAGGCACAATGGAACGAATGAGTTCCGTATGAACTATCAGTCAGCGACCCCCTACCATTGTATATTGCCGATCGAAATCGACAGGGCAACGGGCTAGTGGCCCAGTGGTTAGAGGCGTGGACTTCTAACTAACTGGGCGTAAGTTCCAGCCTCAGGTGTTCCACACTTTGTGGCTCGGTATGGCTGGCTGACGACCACTAGTAAGCCAGCAATAGCCATTCCAGTCTACCTTGTCTCTGTCGGTAATAACACACTGCCATTGAGGAAGGTTAAGGAGTAAATACACATAAATGTGGCCAGGGGAAGCCGTTTGCCTTTGCGCTATCCGTTTAGGATGAGACTTTTGGAGAAGAGGACACAGGCGTCAGCTGCTCTAAGTTAGGCGCCTTCTTAGAAGTTCTCTTGACGCGTTTACTTAAAATGGGCCTACGACGAAAATCTTTTGCTTCTCCGTCGTCAGTTTCGCGAGCATTGATCATCTTTCAGCCATTAACTTAGCAGTGATCGGAGTACGCGGTCTGGTGCAAGATAATTTCGAAAATGCTAAGGCTTACCTCAACGCAATCAACCAAACAGATCCTCTCTGCTATTTGTGCGAAATCACGAATTGATGCCTCCTGTTTTTCAGTGCGAAATAACTCAGAACTTACGCACTGGACGGGCTGCATCTTCTCACGATTTGCGCTGCGTTGAATATTGCCGTCTGGCCTTATAGTTAAAAGCACATGCAACCAAGGGGAGCCAACCTGACTGTTCTCTTTTTAGCCAAAGTTGAATCGATGGGTGCGCCCAAAGTATATCATCCAGTAGAACTGAAACGTCGTTTTCTCCAGGAGAAATCGTGAACATACTATTCATGCGGCACTAATAGAACATCAGACTGTTGATCTGTCGACGAATCGCAAGAGTTTATAGTAATTCTACGAATATATTCACTCAAATCGCCTAATCTACTCCGTCAAAACGCCTATATACCTCGATATGAGTTTTATTTTGCAATTGCAGTTGTGGACATTCGATAAGGCTGCGGGCAGTTTTTCCGCTCATACTGTGTTTATAATTAGCAACTTGTTTGGTCAGATTTGCAAATTTCGTCCATCTGTACAACCGCAAGGGGCTTCGGCAACTCTGTTCCTAGCACAGGGCATCTAGCTATTCAAAATCGCCGGAAGATTCATCGTCCGCATCCTCCTTAACGATCACCAAGATCAAGGATTCCTGCACTCACGCCATGTTGAGGGAATTACGGCTAAGTCAGAGTGGCCAATGGAAGATGCACTTCTACCAAAACCGCTCTTCTCTGATGGTGCTGCTGCTGGTGGTGCACGCCAACACACAAACAAAACTGGACGGACTGCCTGGTCTGATTTGAGGCGTCCGTCAGCAGCCTTCCGATGCGCGGCGCTTGACGCGTCGGGCTAATCTCAAGCTATAGTCACCCATGCAACAGGAGCCCTTCGTAGACCAAGTCGAAACGCACACTTCCCACCTGCATGAGAGGTAGGAGTTGTATGTATTCGATGGGTGTTGTTGATGTCTGATGAGATGCTGGTGAGGATGAAAGTCGCGGTGTAGCACAGGCGGCGGTTGAACGCCGCAGGTTTTCGTGAATTTGCATGTAGTTGAATAGGCCAACGCGGTGCATGGGTGCAGGTTGGTGCTTCAGTCACTTGTTTGCCAATCTCTGTGCGTTGGATTCGCAAGTGACCGAGCAGGCCGATGTGCGGACAGTATGAGTATGAGAAGTCGGTGGTATCGCTGTCAGTTGCGGAGATGGTTGTGGTGGTGGTGGTGGTGGTGGTGGTGGTGGTGGTGGTGGTGGTGGTGGTGGTGGTGGTGGTGGTGGTGGTGGTGGTGGTTATGGACGCACAGGACGACGAATTGATGGAGGGGCTGGGCATGGTGGGTGTGCTGGATGTGGTCGGTGCCGCGAATGCTGCCCGGGCTGTCAGGTCGCCATGCCACAAACGCGTGACAAGCGAATGATCAAGATCAGGACCCCTGTTCACGCCTTCGTTCTGCTAATCGGCCACCCATGACAGCCTATGACAGTCCACCTGCCATATAACCGACCGTTTCCAAAAGCCTCCCCACTTGTGCTGCCTCTCGTACTCAGTTCACGTCCTATTTTCAATTAACCTTCTGTTTTGTGTGCATAGCATTGACGAAGCAGCCTAACGAACATGTCTTAATTGCTGTATAAACCCTTACCTTTCTGTCCAACGAACAGCCATAAACTCTCAAATGACTCGTGCTTGCAAGTGAGGAAGACATTTGAGAATTATTTTGAACTACCATCGACTTTGTCACCCACGATTGTACTGGACATCCCATTTAAGTTGAAACTACTCAGGACGAATTTCAAAGGGTTGGAATAACGCTATTTCTATACACTCAATCTACTAGCGGCTACAGATCTTCAAAGAGTCATCAGGGGTAGGAAACGACAACGTACTTCTCAGTCGCTATCGGTTTTGTAAAATGCGTCAAGAATCCAAACAAGTTATAAGCGACTTTTTATATCTGTTTCTGACCATGCAGGACTGTAAGTATGAAGAGATCAAGGCAGACAACTTCGAGCACGCAACGCTCGTTCAGCAGTTGATCGTTGGTCTGTGCGATGAAATATCGCGGAAAAATCTCTAATCAGAAAAGAGGGATTTTTCATGAGAGAAAGCCTGTGATATCGCCAGTCATCAGGACCGCTCGCGACAAAGCCTTCAGCAGATGAATCATTCAAACGATGAATTGATATCATTGGAATCTGAAGTGGCTCTCTGGTCAACACTGCCGCGTCTACACCTAGACAGCGACCATCAGCTCGCTGAAAACAAATATCATCCTACTATTGTTGTGGTCGGCATTATATTCTGCGTCAAGACTGTAGACACCAGAAGACGGTATGTCCATTTTGCAAGAAAATTGATCACATCGAACGAGCGTGATTCTTAAAAGACGAGCGAGCACTAACACGCATGCGACCTATTCTTATCCAGCGGTGAACGCCGACTAACCGTATATCTAAACACGGACATTACTCAAAACGCTTACGCAAATATATCGGGGAATCCTGACCTCCGTAGACAACGCATGCCGGGTTCGAAATTGAACCGAAAATGTACCCGCAGACACAACTAACTGTCACTTACCACTACAGCCCTATCTCCAACATTATCCCAATCGCTGAGGCTAACTCTAAATTTGCCCTAAGCCTAACCTATTGTGTAGACTTCTGTTCTTATTGAAATTTCAAGTTAGCGTTGGTGAATATTAGCTAGTTAGCGACATTAAAATGCCAAATACGGCAAATACGTGGTCTAGGTCAGGAGACGTTTACGTCAGATCGTCAGAAGCTTGGGGTACAGAGCAATTGGTCGATCCGTATTAGTAGTATCGTATTTTGACAGGTGATACAGTTGTTCTTATATTACTGCACACGTTCGAGAAGGAAAGATTCGGATGCGAGGTTGAATTGCCAAGGCTGTAGGACGCTCTGGGCGACACCAAAGTCAGAAATGATATACACGGTAGAATTAAAACGCTCGGCAGTGCTTTCTTTCTTTCGGATTTTATCGTATAGGAATCATTATAGCAACTGAGACGCGTATCAATTTTTTTCAATTTCATTGACTAAAAACGTCCAAAAGCGGGCGACTACCCACGACTCAGCAGCAGTTGAATGCCCGTTTGGTTTAATTCACTTTATATGTTGGCTTTTAACAGTGCTCAGCAGAAAATATGATCTTCGGCTAAAGTACTCCCATTCTCAGCAAAATAAGTGAGGTGAGCCTATGGGGGAGCTGACTTAAATACCTTCAGCTCAGATTTTTTCCATCGCTAACATCGTGCTGCTTCTGATTAAATACAAAAGCCAAGTCCATCGCCCAATTCGTCCCTCGGTCTGCCTACTCACGTTCGTTTGCTATGCAGTAAGCTAATGATTTCACTTGTCACATGTTGGTGCAGTGAGGTAATGTGTGTGTTCCGGAAAAACCTGTGCTTCCATCAAGCGGCTTCAGACTTTAACCCGCTGGCTGCAGTCCACGTCGAGCAATAAATAAAACGCCAGCAGGGGTTCGTGATCAAAGGGCAAATTCAAGCAGACCAAAGGTCGAATGAACTCGGTCGCCTTAAAAGATGGCCAACTGCGTTTTTCTTGAATTAGAGGCAAAAGTTGAACAAAACCAGTCGTCTAAACCCTCAGACATGCGGTGGCTTGTACTGTGGTCAAGCGGTTTCGCTGTCCCTCAGTTATGCCTTTAGCGTCGGAAAATCAGTTGAAGCACTTCTGCAACACGCAGTTCAAAATAAACGTCGACGCCGGCACAGCACGAGAAGTCAAGAAATAGCACATGTCTTGTCTCAGGCGGACACATCCATTTAGCGAACCATAGTCGATGTTGACATGGGACACTTGCATCACACGGGAATGTTCATTCACAGAAGAGCAAAGGCCTCTTAGTTCGGCGTAAAGAAGAGCGCCTGAGTCTCACAAGATGACCGTAAAGCGATTTTTAGAGAAGCGGAGACGATTATCCGTCCTACCTTAACAAGACAATCACTGACCATCCATATAGTTAGTCTGTAGATGAGGAATCAATAACCCATGAAATTGCATTACCCTTTATATTTCCTCTCTGGAGGTTCTAGATTTGTCTCTTGCTCTGCGATATCAATAGCCGCTTTGGCCATGGAATTACAATGTGTGACATCTGACCTAAAATTGTGATGTTTTGCGAGACAATTTGTCGGCATAATTGAAGTCAGGCGTCAACTGATGAAACCAAAAGACTCACTGCCACGGCAAGAAACGTCTGGAGTCGTTTATCGGATCTTACGCAGTTGCGGACAAAGCAACTACGTCGGAGAAACCGGAAGACAGCTCCGAACGCGAATGGCCGAACACGCTGCAGCAGTGCGGAGAAATGACGTCAGCTCTCAAGTTGCGGCTCATTCGACGGGTTCCGGCCACACATTCAAATTTGACGAGGCCGAAATTCTCGCAAGAGGTGACAACCGCGTGAGCCGGGAGCTGCTTGAGGCATGGTTCACTGGCCCCCAGTCTATTAACAAGTGCAATGATCTTCCCATTCAATACAGCGTGCTGAGACTTCCTCTAGGCGAAGAAATTGGCCACGCGGGGATCGCCCTGATGAACACTCTTCCCAACACGCGGGTCAGCGCGTCAGATGGTCGAGCAATCATCACACCAACATCCAAAGCACGTGATGAAATTGCAGCAACTAACGACGCGAATATCGACCATCACGCCACGTGCAACGATCCCTGATGAAGGGGAGGGAGCCGTGAACATTCATAGGTATGCGGTGGCATGGCTACTGCATCCTATAACTACTGCAGCCACATGTGCATGAACCACCCTTATCTGCTTATGTCTCTGATGATGGATTCGAGCGGGAATCCGAAACGTCAGGCTAATAAAGCTCTTGTCCCGGCGATCGTGTCTTCTTCTTCATAATTGAAGTCTCCCGGCAGAAGTGCCAGTTGCAATTTAGACACAGGCTAACGGGTTTAAGGACGATGAACATGATGCACATTCAAAAATGGTTGATACAGGCTAAAGAAACCGTTTGCGCTGCTCCCGGAAAATCCTCATGCATTATTCATAGTGAAAATTTGTTCAGACGGATTGCGTGGAAGCACGACAATCAGCATAGTCCCATATTCTACCTTGTAGTTAGCCATTTGATCTTGCTCCATACTGTGGTACAGGACTCTTGTTCTCCTTGAAGGAAAAATAAATAGACGCCTCCGTACTGCAGTGCTGATCCTTATTTACTGTGCATAGACGTAAAACTCAAAGAAGTGATTTATATACTTTTCGGAGACCTACAGAAGGCATGTTTTCCAACTCATTTTTGATTATGACAAAATTGTCTATATCGACATCATGTAAGCATTAAACAGGGTGTCTCGCATGTCGCTTTCTGTACAAACGTATTTATATAGGAGGGATCGGTAAGCATCTGATACTCATTTGAAGTCTAAAGCAGTTACAACCAACTCCATCCAAAAAGGACACAAATCCATTTAGCGAATTGTAGTCGATGCTGATATGGGATACTCGCAGCACACGGGGTTTTGCATGCAAACAGGAGCAAAGACCTCTGGTAATGGCGAGAAGACAAACGCCTTAGTTCGATAAGACGACCGCGAGGCGATTTTTAAAGAAGCGAAAATAGATCGCCCTACCTTAGCAAGGCCATCACTAACCATGTATGCAGTTAGTCAGTACATAAGGAATTATAAAACCATAAATGTACATTACGTATATATTTCCGCCCAGTCAGTCCTAGGTTAGTCTATTGTTCTGCGACTTCAGCAGCCGCTTTGGCCATGGAATTCAAGTGTTTGGCATCACGCCTTGAATTGTGTTTTTTGAGAAATTTCGTCGGCAAAATTGCAATATCCTGGCAGAAGTGGCGGTTTCAACTTCGACACAGGCGAACGGGTTTAGGGACGATAAACATGACGAACATTAAAAAAATGGTTGACGCAGGCTAAGACAGTCGTTTGCACCCCCCCGCAAAAATACTCGTGCATTAATCTTAATGGACATTTATTTAGACAGAGTGTGTGCAAGCACAATAATCAACATGATCCCAGATCCTACCTTGTAGTAGACCATTTGATCTGGCTTTGTACTCTGCTTCAGGAGTCTTGTTCTCCTTGAAAAAAAATAAGACTCCTCCGTATTGCACTTTTGATCCTTATTTACTGTGCGTGGGCGGAAAACGCAAAGAAAAAAAATTTGATGTTTTCAGGGGAGCTACAGAAGGCATAGTTTCAAATTCACTTTTTGATTATGACCGAATTGTCTAAATCGACCTCAAGTAAGCATTTGGTAGTGTGTCTCGCATTTCGCTTTCTGTACAGACGC